GAAAGAGCGCTTAACTCTGCACCACTCCACCCAGGACCCAGGACCTGGCCCACTCACACCTGCTGGGAACAGCTTGAGAGAAATGCGGAATCTTGGGCTTCACCCCCAGGCTGAACCATTCAGACGCAGCATTCTAACGGGATCCCTGCACACTGAAGCCTACGACAGTGCTCTAAGGAACCCAAGAGGCTGTGGCACACTCCCAAGGGACACAGAGACACAGGCCGGGATCCCAGCCCCACCCAGTGAATGTTGCTGATTCTCTGTGCCTCTCTTGGCTTGTAAACGGTATCATCATCGCCTCTATCTGGAAGGTAGTGGTGAGCACTAGGTGAGGACGTTCACATAAAACACAACCTGGGGCCTGGTATGAACTCAGTGCCGTGTGACGGCTGCTCCTCTCCACCAAGGCAAACTCACAAGGGGCGAGGAGCTGGGGAGGCAGGAAAAGCCCAGCAGGCCTGACTGCCTTGGGGTTCCCAGTGGTTCCCGGTACATCACGGGGGCCCTCTGGTCTACCCTTGCCAGAGGGGCTCCCAGGGCTCACCCTACCCCTTTCTTCAGTGATCAAAGGACAGGAAAGAAAAGGGCATCTGTGGGCTGAGAGAGGCAGCAGACAGGGGAAAGAAACGGAAGCGAGCCTGTGTTCTATCTAACTCGCACCCCTCTATGCTCCGAGAGCCCAAGTGCCCTGTCTGAGTTCCTTTCTAGCTTCTGCAACCTTCCACCGGAGCTCCTCGCAGCTGCCATGTCCTTATAGACAGAAAGAGTGACGGGGTGCCGTCAGACCAGGGCTCCTCCATCAGTCTCTCACTGCCATTGAGTCAGTGCCAACTCACAGTGGCCCTGTAGGGCAGGGAGAACTGCTCCTCTGAGTTTCCAGGACTGTCCCTCTTTGCCACAGTAGAAAGCCCCCTTCTTTCTCCCTCCATCAGACGAGGAGTCTGACTCTCCTCCCATAAGTCTAAGCGTTCCCTCTTCCTCTATGGATATTCGGGGCAGGAGAGGACTTAGACTCGTGTCAGAACATGGCTGAGAGTTCTAGGGCCAGGCAGGAATCAGACCACTCTGAAACATGGAAGTCAGTCCTTCCTGCCCCTGGTGCCCAGAACCTCCCAAGGCTAGCTCAAGTCAGCACGAATGGTCAGCTGCTTCTCAGAAAACCCCTGGTGCCAACATCCCAAGGGTCCGGTTAACTTACACCCTCCCCTGATCGCCCCCACAGACCACAGCTTTTGTTCCAGAAAGCTGGTCAGCTCCATCTCCCCTCTTCCGCTCCACCCCTCCCCAACTACCAGAAACACACGCTTGCACACGCAGGCACACGCACACACACTTCTGTGGGGCCTCAGGGACTGACTGGCTGCCCGCCAGCCCCTACCTCTTGCCCACCAGGAGGCTGGGGCAAGGGGGGCACAGCTGTCGCAGCTGACAATGGCCCCAACCTCAGGGCTGCAGCTGTTGTCGACACAGGGGTGGACAGAGGGGAGGATTTGCACCACACGCCAGCCGTCTGTGTAACTGGAGCCAGGCATGCGGCCGAAATGACCCCAAACTCCCCGGGGAGAGCCCCCACACTCACACTTCTACCCCCTCACCTTGGCAGGCTCCTCCCGCAGGGCTGAGTAGCGGCGATGCAAACTGGGGGGTGTGTGGGTGGCTGTGGTCATGGAGAACCGAACGTCCACTGCGCTGCCCATGTGCGACCTTGAGTGGGGGAGGCAGGGGGTGGGGAAGGCAGCCCCTAAGGACTGAGAGCCCCCACTCATACCCACTGGGCCCACAGAGCAGGGGAGCTTCAGTTTGGAGAAGTGAAGACTAATGACCAGGAGCTAGCCTGCATGTTTGGGGTGCTGCCACTGAAGGAGGCATCCTCTCTGTTGCTCTGGAGGTCAGAGTGGCCCTGGGGTAATGCTCCAGGGAAGCACGTTGACTATAAGAAGGGCCTTCTCATAGCAAGAGTTGGCTTATGAGTAAGGTGACCAGATTTGAACATTGGTAAAGCGGGACACCATTGATAAAACTCATATCCTGACAAAATAGCCACATGGCAGCCGAAAA